GCAGTATAATAGAGAAAAACTTAAGTATACAGAACTTGCACTTCAAGAACAAAACTATTATTATTTTCATATTGTAATACAAAAGAGTGAAGACCCAATTGAATACATTATACTTAAAGAAATAAATATTATTATAAAAAAATTAAATATTGCTAACAGAGTAAGATAGATACTAGAAAATAGAGAAAAACAAGCTGCTAAAATAAGATCAATATTAGATTTAGGTTAGAGCAAGAGACTTTGAAAACAAAAAATGAATTAACAAAAACAGCACAATTAAACAACTCTGAAGACTATGATACACCAATTCAAAAATCTATCAAAACTATAGCAGTAAACTAGCATGAAATAAGAAAAAACCAAAAAAAAAGAGATGCAAGCTCAACAAAAGAAAAACAAGCTGCTAAAATAAAGTCATAACTAGAATTAGATGAAGCAAGAGACTTCAAGAGCAAAAAAATTTAACAAATTTCAAGCTATTTTTTTCTCTGCCAATATTTAATTACAAGATTTGATCAAATTAATAGTGATTTCTTTAAAAAGGTACAGTAAATAAATTACTATTAGTTATTATTTCAAAATAATGATTTATTATTTAAATTTACAATAAATATAGGTACAACAGAATGGTAACTAATTATTGGAGTATATAAAGATGATGTTTGCAATATTTTTAACTTTGAAAGCTCTCGTGTTGATATTAACAATATTCCTATAAATTATAATTCAATTATACCTTGTGAAAATGATTTTCAACTTGATAGTGACAATGATTAAAAAAATTCAGATGAACAAATTTTAAATTATTTATGCGATATGCTTGAAGAAATACTATTATTTATTTTATTTTATTTTTTTTTATAAGGCTGTTATTAATTTATTTAATCGCATTACTATTTATTAGAGTAAAGCAGTTTTGAATGCATCACGAAATAAACCTAATCTAAATCATTGGCTAGAATCAATTTGTCCAAATTTTAATGCTTTAGAAACTATGGTTAAAGATATTAGAAAACTTGAAAATCAAACAACACTCCTCGCATTTGGGAAGATTTAAATCATAATACCATGTATTGGTATTCATAAATGTTTTTTTTAATTATGTAGTATTCGTAACTTTCAATTATGTACTTACGATTTCAAAATTAAAAATTTATAATAAATAAGTATTATTGTTAAAATTTGTCGTTGTTATTCATATTGTTAATAAATAAAATAAATAAATAAATAAAATTATAAAATGAAAAATAAAATAAATAAATAAATAAATAAAATAAATAAATATATATATAAATAAATAAAAAAATTGAAATCAAGAGCTTTAATTATAACGCAAGCTACATTTTTTTGTGGGCGATGCTGGGTTTGCTATTCGAAAGGATGATAGCAACGCACGTGGCCGAATACCCATGTATCTGTCGCATCGGATAACACCTTTTCTTTTATAAACGTTTTATTTATTTTTTTTATTATAAGGGATTTGCTATTAATTTTTTTCAAGAAATGAAAATCATCTGTAATCCAAAATATTGTAAAGGCAGTGTATAAAATCTCAAAAATACAGTATGTAAATCTCGTGCACAATGGAATTTACTAATTTTCATAAAATTGATTAATAACATGGATACTCTAATATGTGAATAATTCGTAGAACCAATCAAAGCGATAGAAGTGGTGGGAAGATTAGTTAACCCGTGCACAATGCACATATAATTTATGTGAATATTGTAATTTTAAAATGTGTGCACTATAATTTTATAATTTAATCAAATTGTATAGATTTCGTCGGCAACGAATAAATATGTATGATGTTATTGATTGAAAAAAACATGATCGATGGGCAAGCCACCATAATTACTGAAAGAAGTTAGCATTAGCTAAAGAAAACCGTAGATTATTATGAATTTTATAATGACCTATTTTTAAATAAAAGGTTTTTCTTTTGGCAGCACTCATATAAAATCCAATAGATTCTTGTAATACAAATGCATTTTTTTCGTAATTGTTCTGATTTCTCAGATCAACAACTTTATGTTCATTTAAAGTAATACGTTCCAAATTAATACAAGTTAAAAACTTGCAGATCCCTACAAAATTATTTCCGCATGATATAATCATGCTATCCAAGTTGCCCGTAAACCATACACTTCGTTCACTACGTTCTTGGTATAAATATATATCAACAAA